CCAGTCCCAGACCAAAAAAATCTAACAGATCAACTAACAATATTTTTGATTTGGTACATATGGACTTAGTTGGTCCATTAAGTCCCTCAATTACCTATAGAAAACGTTACTTCCTAACAATAGTGGATGACTACAGCCGATATGGTTTTGTTTACACATTAAAGCACAAGGATGAAACATTTCAGAAATTTAAGGAATTCTACAAACGTATAGAAACACAACATAATATCAGAATAAAGCAAATTATGACAGATAGGGGATGTGAGTTCATGTCTAAAGAATTCTCCCAATGGTTAAAGGATAGAGGAATGTTACATTTCACGTCCAATCCTTTTTCTGCATTTCAAAATGGAGTTGCAGAGAGGAAAAATTCCACACTACAAACCATGATTAGGTGCACATTAGAGGATGCTGGTTTAGGCAAACAATTTTGGTCAGAGGCATTACATTATTCGAATTACACTCAAAATAGAACCTGGTCCAGTATTGTGAATAAGACACCATATGAGGTGATGTACAATAGAAAACCCAAATTATCACACATGCACATATTTGGAGTCACTGCAGACGTACACATACCTAAACAATTGAGGAGAAAGGGAGAAAACGTATCCAGGAGATTAAGATTCATGGGATACGAAACTGGAACCAAAGGGTACAGATTTATTGATAGTAATAACAAATTTATAGTATCCAGAACAGCTGTGTTCCATGAACAGGCCAATTGGTCAAAATTGCACCTTAATGAAATATTTCCTAATAAATGTAAAGATACGATATCTTGCGAGGAAGGAACAACAGAAAATCAAAATATTAACAAAAGTAAGAACAAAACCAAAACTTGGACTAATAGTCAGCATAAAATAAAGACAGACACATTAACAAAAAAGGAAGCTAGATATTTGCATGATAACCATAGCAAGCCTGAAAGAACTATTAGAAACAATAGAAACCAAATACCAAATAAATACAAAGATTACATAATGCATATGAATGGAGAACAAATAACACCTAATACATATGAAGAAGTATTGAAACTTCCACATGAAGAAAGAGAAAAATGGGAACTAGCTATGGAAAAAGAGATGGAAAGTTTACAAGGATTAAATGTATTCACACCTGCGATCGCACCTAAGGATAAAACAATTATAGGTACCAGGTGGATTTATAAAATTAAGAACTTAGAAGGAGGCAATACCTTATACAAGGCTAGACTAGTTGCACAAGGCTATGCACAAAAATATCCAGAAGACTATACTGATACATATTCACCCACAGTGAGAACTGAGAGTGTCAAAACAGCCCTTGTAGTAGCATCTGCACTCAATCTGGACGTATTCCAATATGACATACAGACCGCATACTTACATGCAAAATTAGATAAGGAAATATATGTAAGAGCACCACACAGTCAATACACTAATAAGAACGAAATTTGGTTATTAAATAAGAGTCTGTACGGATTAAAGCAATCCGGCAAAAGATGGTACGATTGCTTGGTAAAAGTACTTAAGACCATGGATTTCAACGCCACCACTGCTGATAACTGTTTCTTTGTAAAAAAGAGTAATGATCATATTGAATTTGTATTAATTTACGTGGACGATATTTTATACATTGGAAAGCATAAAGAGAGCAGGGAAATCTTTGTAAATAAGTTAAATGAACACTTCTCACTGAAATCTCTGGGTAAAGTGAATAAATACCTTGGTGTGCAAATTAACAAAACTAAAAGGGGATTCAAACTTACACAGAAAGATAAAATCATCGAACTCCTAAACAAATGTAACTTAAATAATGCTAAAACCTGTGACACCCCTATGCAAACTGATTTTCTTAGAAACACTGATGAATCTTCCCCTGAGTTTAAAGACAACACATTTTACAGATCAGTTATAGGTTCACTCCTTTATATATCTAATTGGACTAGGCCAGATATTGCATTACCTCTCAATCTATTGTCAAGATATGTTAGTAAACCAACCTTGTATCATTGGGAAGCTGTCAAAAGAATTCTAAGATATCTGAAGGGTACATTAGATTTTTGTTTAATGTTGGAACCCAATAATGACAGAGAACCAAAAATTACTTGTTATGCTGATGCAGATTGGGCTGGTGATACATCATGCAGAAAGAGTACTTCTGGTTATGTTTTTCTATTGAATAATTGTCCAGTTTACTGGTATACTGGTAAACAAGAACTAGTAGCCACTTCTACTACAGAAGCGGAATATGTTTGTTTGTCCAAAGCTGCAAATAACCTTGTATGGTTCAATGATCTGATCACTGATGTTTGGAAGAAACCCACCTTACCATTTATTATGCATGAAGACAATAAAGCGGCCATTGAAATATCCAGATCAGATGCAATTGGACAAAGGTCCAGGCATATTGATATAAAGTTTAAGCATGTGAGACAACTGTCTCAAGACGGATTCATTAAAGCAATACATTGCGATACTTCTGAACAATTAGCTGACATATTAACAAAACCCTTACCTTCTAAACAACACAAATATTTAACTTCTAAATTATATGTATTATATTGTCCTGAATCAGAATGTAATTGGTGTTGTGTAACGAACCGGCATTTAGAGGGGGATTTGTCAGATGTAAATGCCTTATTCTCCAATGTGTAAATAATGTATATATGGAACATCAGAGGTTAACTTATTCTTTGGACTTTAATGTATTCATAACTTACCACTCCCATTCCTAGCTCCACCCCTTGTATATATAAGGAGCCACCCTCACCATTCTCGTTGCTTCTACCTTGAATATTCAGTGAATATAGAATGCCTATCATAATTAAAAAGAAATATATTTAAAGCTTTAACTTCTATTATCTTTATTGAGTCTGATCCTGAAAATATTGCAACAGGGAAGAAGATGGTAAGTGAACATTTGTCTACCCTAGACGAGTTCAAATCACCAGGACTGGATGGATTCCACCCCAAGGTTCTGAAGGAACTGGCAAACGAGATCTCAGAACCACTGAACTATATCTTTCAAAGATCCTGGAGCACGGGAACTGCCAGAGGACTGGAAAAGAGCTGATGTAGTTCCCATCTTCAAAAAAGGAAAAAAAATAGATCGAGGAAACTGCAGTCCTATTAGCCTGACTTCGATACCAGGGAAGATTCTGGAAAAGATAATCAAGCAACGAATCAGCGAACACCTAGAATCAAACCAAGTAATAACCAAAAGCCAACATGGGTTTGTCAAAAACAGATCATGCCAAACTAACTGCATTCTTTGATAAAGTGACAACATTAGTGGACCAGAGGAATATTATTGATATAATTTACTTAGCCTTCAGTAACGCATTTGATAAAGTAGACCATAACCTACTACTAGATAAAGTAGAAAAATGTGGGTTAGACAGCATCACCACCAGATAGATTTGTAACTGGCTGACCAACCACACTCAACGTGTAGTTCTCAATGGAACTGCATCTACATGGAGGGAAATATGCAATGGAGTACCTCAGGGCTCTGTTTTAGGCCCAGTACTCTTCAACAACTTCATCAATGACTTGGAGGAGATAGATGGGGAACTCATCAAATTTGCAGATGACACCAAGCTGGCAGGAATAGCCAATACTCCAGAAGATAGGCTCAAGATACAGAAGGATTTTGACAGACTTGAACATTGGGCGCTATCTAACAAAATGAAATTCAATGGTGAAAAAAGTAAGGCTCTACATTTAGGCAAGAAAAACAAAATGCACAGGTAAGTATATGTGGTACTTTACTCAATAGTAGTAACTGTGAGAGGGATCTTGGAGTCCTAGTGGACAACCATTTAAATATGAGCCAGCAGTGTACAGCAGCTTCCAAAAAAGCCAACACAGTTCTAGGCTGCATAAATAGAGGGATAGAATCAAGATCACGTAAAGTGTTACTACCACTTTATAATGCCTTGGTAAGACCACACTTGGAATACTGCATTCAGTTTTGGTCGCCATGATGTAAAAAAGACGTCAAGACTCTAGAAAGAGTGCAGAGAAGAGCAATAAAGATGATTAGGGGACTGGAGACTAAAACATATGAAGAACGGTTGCAGGAACTGGGTATGTCTAGTTTAATGAAAAGAAGGACTAGGGGAGACATGATAGCAGTGTTCCAATATCTCAGGAGCTGCCACAAAGAAGAGGGAGTTTAAGCTATTCTCCAAAGCACCTGAGGGTAGGACAAGAAGCAATGGGTGGAAACTAATCAAGGAGAGAAGCAACTTAGAACTAAGAAGAAATCTCCTGACAGTTAGAACAATTAATCTGTGGAACAACTTGCCTCCAGAAATTGTGAATGCTCCAACACTGGAAGTTTTTAACATGATATTAGATAACCATTTATCTGAAATGGTATAGGTTCTCCTGCTTGAGCAGGGGTTATACTAGAAGACCTCCAAGGTCCCTTGCTCTTCTCTTCTCTTCTCTTCTCTTCTCTTCTCTTCTCTTCTCTTCTCTCCTCTCCTCTCCTCTCCTCTCCTCTCCTCTCCTCTCCTCTCCTCTCCTCTCCTCTCCTCTCCTATCCTATCCTAATAGGAGAAGGCTATGACTACATGCTGGGTGCCAAATCATATTGTTGTTCAGGTATTTATTGCTGAAGATATTTGAAGCCCTTGTAAAGTTTTTTTTTTAATGTTTTAGGTGAACTGTGGTAGCAGTTGTGATAAGGATATATGTTATGTGAATTAAAACACATGGATTTCTTAGGCTTTATATAATTTTCAGTGAAAAACTGAAAGGAAAAAATTGTAGGAATAGATTGGAAACAATAAGATAAATCTGAATTTGTGCTGTTTGCCCAGAAACCATCTAACTCATTAAAAACTTTTCCTGGATCTTGTAGATAAGCAGGATGAAACAGTTTTGGAGAACATTTGCTGAACCAGTTTCTGGCCTTCTTAACAATAACTCATGTCCTCATCACTTCTAGAATTTATCACAATGTGTTCCATTGATAACAGCCTTTGAAACTGTAAGAATCCACAGTTGGCACAGTGACCCAGTTATTGGCAGGTAACAGCTGTGATAACCATACAACACTACTTCTGTGGTAATGTATTCACTTTCAGTAGTCTTCCAGATACAATTTGTTCAGTTGTGTCCAACTCTTGGTGACTTTATAAGCAAGTGCTCTCCATGCTACCCTTCCAGATATAATACAAAATGATATTGTTCATTGACAAATCTCTCTGCGTCTAAGTATCCAAGTAGTCTCAGGGTCTCCTAATTCTGCTGGAGCTGATCCCATTTGAGATAGGGGGAGCCTTCTCATACACAAGATTTGAGGTTAGTGAGTAAGGGTCCAATGCTTTTCTGTATCTTTCCTGTAAATTACAGTCTTCCAATAATTATCTTGTACCCACTTTAGGATGGTGCTTTAACTTGGATTTATTTTTGGTAAAGCTTTTTTTATCTCTAGTATTGTGCTGTACTGCAGATGCAAGAACAGATTGAAAATTTTATACTATAATTTTGTTGAATTGTTTTATGCACATTATGGAAATTTATAAACTGGTAAAAGTTATAGAATGGGCAATATATAAATAATAATTCAATATTAGCTTAGTAACTCATTATTGATAAGAAATATGGTACATATAAATAAAGCCATTTACATTCCTAGATTGTAAGATTAGCATTACAAATATCAAGAGAAATAAGAAAAAAAACCCTCAAAAGCAATTATAACTTTCTTTAATTCAAATTTCTTCATGTTATTGCAAATCTGATTGTATGTAGGCATGAATTATGAAGAAGATTGTTTAACATACTGTAATAAATACATCTATATACAACAAGCATGCTGTGATTAAAATTAAAATTATGGACATAAGGCTTATTTGATATTATTGTCCTTTCAAAAACATATCTTGGAAAAATACAATAAGAAATGCTTAGTTCTCTTTCCCAAAGGAACATGCTGAGTTCTTAAATAGAAAGAGATAAAAAGGGATGGGGGAAAGGAAGAAACCAACAAATAGCATTTAATTACATTGCTTACATAGAGAAAGAATACAATCTTTGAATGCACCTTTCCTGAAAAATCATATTCATTGTTATAGATTGTTGGAGATGGTCGTAATCTGAGTGACACTACTGAAGCTACCTGATTAATGCTATACTTACCAGGAGACAAAACTCACCCTGTGATCGTCGAACCACTGTCAGTAATCTTTGAGAACTTGTGGCAGATGACTGAAATCCCAGAAGAGTGAAAAAACAGAAGTTGCATATGTCTTTAAAAATAAAAACAGAAAGATGGAGTAAACTATAATCTGTCAGCTTTATGTCTACATTGGGCATAGTCTTTGAACATATTATCAAGCTGTGTGTTTGTAAGCACTTGGATAGGTATACTACCTATAAGAGGAACCAGGATGGGCTTGTTACACAGAAATCTTTGGAACATTATCTCAACTCTAAACAACATTCTAATATTGGCAAAATATATTTATTGGTGAATAATAGGGTGAATTGAAGTAATACCTTATAGTTAATCCCCCCCATTAGTTATTTAATTGTATTTTGATAATATTATCTTTGGTAACATTAAATTGCTAAAAACTAATCACCACATTCAGAAAATTACAACTTATTTTATTTATTTTATTTTATGCAATTTATATGCCGCCCTATCTCCGAGGACTCAGGGTGGCTCTGTGTGGGCGGGGATTCAGGTAAGGAGGGGTCTAAGGGAGGAGCTGACCAGGTGGGTGTCTGGGTTAACCCCTGCACTACTGAGCTATAGCTGATCCCTGGCACGGGCAGAGCATTTATACCTGACAAATCCCCCTCTAAATGCCTGACCCTTGTCTGTGGGCCTGACTGACTGGTTGGTACCCTGTTGAGCTTGGAAACTAAGTGTGAGTGTTGCTTGCCCTGTAGGGGTTTCGTGAGTATGTCTGCGGTCTGTTCTTCTGTATCGCAGTGTATGGCCTTTATGAAACCGATTCTGGAGAGCTGTCTAACGTGCTTATACTTTATGTCTATGTGCCTTGACCTTTGCCCTACAGCGTCGGACATGGATATTTCTATGGCGGCTTTGTTATCTTTGTAGATATTTATTGGGTAAGCTGGTTCTCTCCACACGCTGGCGAGTAGGTCGTCGAACCAGATGAGATTGTTGGCGGCTTTGGAGAGGCATATGTATTCAGCTTCAGTAGTCGAGGTTGCCACCAAGATTTGTTTGCCTGTGTACCAATGCACCGGACAGTTATTTAAGTAGAATATGTACCCAGACGTGCTTTTGCGGCCTTTGGCGTCTCCGGCCCAGTCAGCATCAGCGTAGCATGAGAGGATGGGTTCGTCAGATTTTTCAGGCTCTAGGGTTAAGCATGCATTGACACTTTGTTTCAGGTATCTTAGCACCCTCTTCACTGCGTCCCAGTGGTATGTGGTGGGTTTGCTTACGTGCCTGGACAGTAAATTAACGGGTAAAGCAATGTCCGGTCTTGTCCAGTTAGCGATATACAGGAGGGAGCCTATGACTGACCTGTACAGCGTGTTGTCTCCAAATTCGGGTGATTCATCATGCATGTTTTTTAGGAAGTCCACCTGCATGGGTGAATCACATCCCTTGGCATCTGCCATGTTGCACTTATGGAGTAACTCTTCTATTTTCTCTTTCTGTGACAGTTGGAAACCTTTTGGTGTTTGGTTGACTTGTACCCCCAGGTACCGGTTTATCCTTCCAAGGTATTTTAGGGTGAAATGCTCGCTCAGCCTGCTGGCGAAGGTGTTGCGGTTGGCTTCGTGTTTGCTGATGTATAGAATGTCATCCACGTAAACTAGGATGTATTCTGGTGAGTCCCCCTCTTTCCTGGTGAAGAAACAGTTGTCAGCTATGGTCGCCGTGAATCCCATAGACTTCAGGGCCTCTACCAGGCATTCGTACCAGCGTTTGCCTGATTGCTTTAGCCCGTACAGGCTCTTATGAAGTAACCAGGTGTCCCCTCTGTTGGTTTCTTTGCTGTGGGGGGCTCTGATGTATATCTCTTTGTCTAGTTTGGCGTGCAGGTAGGCGGTCTGCACGTCGAACTGGTGCACCTCCAGCCCTAGCAAGGATGCGATGACCAAGGCGCTTTTGACACTCTCTGTTCTTACGGTGGGCGAATAGGTGTCTGTGTAGTCCTCCGGAAACCTTTGAGCAAACCCCTGGGCAACTAATCTTGCTTTGTATAGGCTTTGGCCACCCTCTAAGTTCTTGATTTTGAAGATCCACCGGGTGCCTATTGTGTTCTTGCCCTCTGGGACTTTGGTGGGGGTGTATACCTCTAGCTTCCTCAGGCTGTCCAGTTCTTTGGCCATGGCTAACTCCCACTTTGCCCTCTCCCCCTGGGGTAGTCTCAGTACCTCTTCGTAGGAGTTTGGCGTAACGTGGTTCATGTGCACGTGCATCACGTAATCATTTAGCCTTCTTGGTAGTTGGTTTCTGGTTGACCTGACCGGTCTGGTTGCTGTCTGCTCAGTGTCGTGCAGATATCTGGCCTCTCTTTGTGTCAGTGATTCGACACTTATCTTGGGATGATTCTCTTTCCATCCCTCAACCTTGATGCCTTGGAGGTTGGGCTTGGGCCTGCTCCCTTCCTGCCTACCCACTGTCTCATTTTCGTTTTGAGTTTGCTCGATTGGACTATCCTCCCGCTTGGTGGGTACCTCATTTAAGTGTATTCTGGACCAGTTGGCTTGCTCATGGAATGCCGCTGTTCTGGAGACCACAAACCTATTATTGCTGTCCACAAATCTGAAGTCCTTGGTTCCTGGCTCGTATCCCATAAACCTGAGCCTTCTGGATACCTTATCCCCTTTCTTGCGCAACTGCTTGGGTATGTGGACATCAGCAGTTACACCGAACACATGTAGGTGTGCTATCTGTGGCTTCTTGTTATACATGATCTCGTATGGTGTTTTGTCTATCACACTGGACCACGTTCTATTTAGTGTGTAGTTGGAGTAGACCAGTGCTTCAGACCAGAAGTGTTGGCCAATGCCCGCGTCCTCTAAGGCGCACCTGACCATTGTTTGCAGCGTGGAGTTCCGTCGTTCTGCGACCCCGTTCTGAAAGGCGGAAAACGGGAACGACGTAAAGTGAATCACGCCTTTGGACCTGAGCCAATGGGAGAAGTCCTTAGATAGAAACTCAGACCCTCTGTTGGTCATGATTTGTTTGATTTGTTTGTTGTTTTGGGTTTCTACTCTTTTATAAAACTCTTTGAATTTTTGGAAGGCCTCATCCTTTTTTCTTAAGGTGTAGACAAAGCCATATCGACTATAGTCATCCACTATGGTGAGGAAGTACCTTTTCTTATAATTTATGGATGGCCTTAGGGGCCCTACCAGGTCCATGTGTACTAAGTCGAATATTTGTTTAGCGGCACATAATGACTTCTTGGGTCTGGGTTTTACCTTTAGTTTTGAACACTTGCACACCGAGCACTCGAGGTAGTTTTCACAGTTTTTTATTATGACACCCTCGGTACAATTGGCCATTTTCTGTATCACGGGAAAACTGGCGTGTCCAAGCTTCCGGTGCAGCAGATGGGCACAGTCATCATGCATTGGTTTGCCTATTGAGGGCCTCTTTTGGGTGTGTTTGTTGTGTTGTGTTTCTGGTGTCGTGTTATCATCGCTATCTATCTCTCTCCCGCCTACCTGTTCACCCTCAGTCCTGTCTTGGTCAGTGTCTTCTGCGTTCTCTGAACTGGTGTTTATGCTGTGGGTGTAATCCTCATAGAAAGTTATGTAAGGTAACCCTTGGTTAACGGTTACTCTCCCTACATCTTCCCCATCCTTGCTAACTTTGACATTGCCTTTAGTGAAGATCACCTCAACCCCTGATTCCTTGCTAAGCTTTACTGCGGCCAGGATGTTGTGGGGTATCTCCGGGACTAGCAGTACCCCCTCTATTTTCCCTACGCCTGGTAATGTAATTGTCCCTTTGCCTGTTACTCTAACCTGGTTTTGGTCCGCAACTTTGATCGAAAAATCCTCCCTCTTGAATGATGAGAGTAGTTTCTGGTTGTAGGTGGTGTGGTTGGAGGCCCCCGAGTCCAGGAGCCATGAGCTGGTGTCTTTGTCTTGGTGTGTGGTGTGTGTGTGCTCCCCTATCCCATATAGAGACCCTGTCCTGCTGTCGCGTGAGCTGTCTCTGTTCCCCCTCTTATCCCTGGGAATGGGCGAGTCTCTACCACCTATACCTTTCTTCAGATGTGTGCCTTTCTGTTTGTCTGTACCTATGCTCTGGCCTGCCTCTCTCCCTATAGTTCTTGGGGCAGTCCCTTTTGATGTGTCCCCTCGACCCGCAGATGTAGCACTCTGGCGTGTTGTGTTGTTTCTCTTGGAAGACTACTCTCTTCTCACTCTTGTGTTCTCTGGGAGGGCCGGGGCGGCTCCTCCTCAGATTATCTTCCGCGATAAGCTTGTTGGATAGCTTCTCTACGGATAGCATCCCTAGACTAACGGTGTCTAAGTGTGTCAAGAAGTTATTCCATGAGTGGTCTAAAGAGTTGATCATCACGCTTTTCATGATCTGGTCGGAAATAACTTCCCCCCTAAGGTGTAGCTCTGCTCTGGTACCGCTCAATGACACTAGGTGCTCACTCATGGGGGTCCCTGGTTTAAGCCTGGCAGAGAAGAAGTCTTTGGAAATTTGGGTGGTGGTGGACACACTCTCACTGTAAAATAACCCAAACATTTTTCCTATAATTTCTGATACCGTGAGGTTATGGCCTATACAGTGGTAAATTGTGGGAGATATGCTGGCAATCAAAAGGTAGAATGCCCTATGGTGCATGCAATCCAGCTCTAAAGTCCATGGTCTCTCTGGGGGGTCATTAATAAAATGAGACATATTTTCTTTCAGAAATACTACCTGGAGCTGCTGTGACCACTCTAGGATATTACCCCCATCCATCCTCAACTTGGGAAAGTCAACAGGTAAGTTCCCAGCACTATTAGTAAAATTACTTACTGCTGGCTGCTGTCCATGGTTCCTTATGTGTCTATAGCAGCAGTAAGGCATGGGAACGCTTGCCGGTAGTTTAAAAGTCCCGCTTTGTAATTTTTTTCTTTTTTCTTCCTCTAGGCGGAAGAGCGCATGCGCGAAGTCCATTTCAGCTTCGCCGTCGCTGTGGAAGGACCTGTTCATCGCGGCTCTGCTGTAGAGGCCTCTGCCGGTCAGGTAGGCCTCAGCTTTGGCCTTGGGGGTCCAGGTGTGCTCCGGAAGGCGTCGTCCAGCAGCTGCTTCTCCGGAATGAAGATCCTGGCGGTGCTGGGGCTCTGGCGATGGCTGTAAGTAGCTGCCCCAATCCATGCGGTCCAGGGCCGAAGGCGGCGGCAAGGGTCTTCATGGCCCTATCCACTTGCCGCTCGCTGGGGTGTACCAGGGGTCGGAGTCGGATTCAGTCCCCTCTCCCTGGTCACTTTCATCATTGTTTATGGTCCGGCATTTTTCGCGCGCCGGCCATTTCGAATTCTGTTTGCTGATTGGTTGGGGGTCGGCCATCTTGTCCGACCACGTGGACAAAGATGGCCACCGTTTCGAATTTAGAGTGGGGCTTTGGGGCTCGGTGGCCATTGGGGGTGCCCTTTTGGGCGATCCACTCACCGAGTCCAGCTCCTCGAGTTCGGAGTCCGAGCTCTCTTCGCTCCTTGCCACCTCGCGGTCGATTATGAAGCTCCGCAGGTCGGCAAGGAGGTTCTTGTCGCCGGCTCACTCTTTCAACAGCTGCAGGACGTCGAGTCGCAGCTTCTCTTCTTCTTGATCGTAGTGGTGGGCCCTTTTCCCTTTTTCGATCTCCCCCCTTTCTTCCATCGCGGTGGCTTTGGGGGTGGTTGAGGTTCCTGCCTTCCCTGGCGAGTCCGATGGGTTGCTTTCCCGTTGCTTCGGGGGTGTCGCCATTCTGCAGGTAGGTATGGGTCCTTGTCTTGTGGTTTGGGATCTCTGGGCCTTACCAACCATCCTCTGCTACCATTTTGTTACGAGGAATGGTGGATCAGGCCCAATAAAGAGACTTGAGTCATCAAGTAAAATATCTCTCTTTTATTTGCAGGTTCATCTTATCATCACTTGGATACATTAGGAACTGAAACACGGAGGAGTGTGCCCACCTTTTATACCTGTGGGCGGGGATTCAGGTAAGGAGGGGTCTAAGGGAGGAGCTGACCAGGTGGGTGTCTGGGTTAACCCTTGCATTACTGAGCTATAGCTGATCCCTGGCACGGGCAGAGCATTTATACCTGACAGGCTCATAACGGTAAAATGCATAATTCCTGCCAATATAAAATTAAAATCCCAATTTAAAACAATTTAAAAATTCATTAAACCCCCAACCCCATCAGTCCAGGCTGCGGAACAACCAGATCTTCAAATCGCTGCAGAATGAGTGAAGGTCAGGGGCCATCCGGAGCTCCAAAGGAAGCTGGTTCCAGAGAGTGGGTCCGCCCACAGAGAAAGCTCTCCCCCTGTCATCATCCAACACTGTCTGGCCAACAGCACCCTGAGGAGGCCCTGTCTGTGGGAATGCACCGGCGATTGGGGATTGTCGCTGGCTGCAGGGGGTCCGAAAACTGGTAGACAATTAAGTTCTAGTCTGTACACTGATTGTAAAAAAGATTATTCTGTTTCACAAACAAGTTCTGAATGCATTTGACTTTCTTATTCTTTGCCACCAATATTTAGGATCCATTGGTAAATGGAAATTCAGTTCAGCTAAATTGAACATTGGGACGAGGGTGATTGGAGCTCCCATTTCAGTGGGTGTAAGACAAATTTTTATTCCTTATTGCATATTAATTGCAGGTGTTGCAATACTAAGCATATTTGCTTTTTGTTTGCTTACTTTCTTGTTGGTTTATTGTATGCCACCTGGAGTTGGATAGCCGTATAAGTTAAATCGATCAATCAAATATATAGTTAAAGCCTTCAGTGAATTTTTATTTCCTATAGTTTATATAATATTCTTTTGGAAGACCTTGCAATGAAAGAATAAATTAAAAATATCTGTTCAAAACAATAATTACTACAGAAATCAAGGCCAACAATGTCCCAACACATCTCCCAAATACTTCCCCCTATGGATGCCAAGCTACTCCTACAGCTGCTTTCTTGGCAAAAGAAGAACGGAGCAGTGATATAATGCAGTCTTGCTAGCTCTTCCTAGAAACACTGGATCTATATTTCAAATAGTGATTTTTTAAATCTCAGTTAATGTTGATGTGTGAGGTCAGAATCACCAGTGAGGATATCTGATTGGATAACTGATTTATGGGGTTAAGTGTGATTTTGGGAATCAGTTTACTTTAACTGATGCTAGGTCAAATTCTACAGATTTAATTGTATACCTGTGACTTTGATCCAGTTCTCCAGTACTCTATAGAAAATCTTGACTAATCATTTAATGAACATGGGTTGTTTCATGATGTTGTGTCAATGACAATACAGAAGTCAGCTAATCATGTTATGACAGTGTCAAGAAAGGTGAGACCAGTTTGCAGGTATAGCTATGCTATTATCTGAGGTTTATTGGAAAATGATTCGTTGATCCTGAAAATGCTTTACTGTGCAATTAATTTTAAGGACATGAATGATTCTATCAAGTGAAATACAATTACTGTGTGTAAATTTAAGGCTCTTTAAAATGGCAAGGCTTCTAAGTTTATGACTTTACAACATTAGTTTCTCTGCTGTTTCAGGTCAGCCAATTAAATTCAGGATTATGTTTATGGAGAAAAATAGGCAATGATATGCACTCCCAAAGGGGAATACATAGATATAGATAAAATCTAATCTAATATATATATATAATATATATATATATATATAATATATATATTATATATATATATATATATTAATATATATATATAATATAATAATATAAATATATATACACACACACACACACCACACACACATAAAAGCCTATGAAAAAAGAAAAAAGATACATTATGCCTTTACAGGGAGGATAATTGGGAAGTGGGTGTGGCCCACTGAGGACGCCTTAAGAGGTAGAAATAGCTATCTGGGTCTCCCAGGAAGCAACACAGAGTTGCAGTTTGTCAGCAGAAAAAGGGCCCAAGAACTTGTGAATGAGATTTCACAGAACCTAGGGCTGAAGAACAACTAAGTTTACATAGGTAAAACCTGGCTAGAAAGAATATGCACATAAAAGCCTATGAAAAAAGAAAAAAGATACATTATGCCTTTACAGGGAGGATAATTGGGAAGTGGGTGTGGCCCACTGAGGACGCCTTAAGAGGTAGAAATAGCTATCTGGGTCTCCCAGGAAGCAACACAGAGTTGCAGTTTGTCAGCAGAAAAAGGGCCCAAGAACTTGTGAATGAGATTTCACAGAACCTAGGGCTGAAGAACAACTAAGTTTACATAGGTAAAACCTGGCTAGAAAGTGTTGCAATATTTTTAGGATCAGACTCAATAATAATAATTAGAATTAGAGGTTCAAATATAGTTCTCTTTAATCATAGTAGGCATTCTATATTCACTGAATATTCACAGATAGAAGCAAGGAAAAATGGCGAAGGTGGCTCCTTATATATACAAAGGGTGGAGCCAAGAGTGGGAGTGGTGAATTATGAATACATTAAGAAACAAAGAATAAGTTAACCCCTGATATCCCATATATACATTATTTACACATTAGGGAATAAGGCATTTACATCTGACAAATCCCCCTCTAAATGCCGGTTCGCTATACAACACCAATTACATTCAGATTCAGGACAATATAAGACATACAATTTGGAAGTTAAGTATTTGTGCTGTTTAGAAGGTAAAGGCTTCGTCAATATGTCAGCTAATTGTTCAGAGGTATCGCAATGTACTGCTTTGATAAATCCATCTTGGGACAATTGTCTCACATGCTTAAATTTTATATCTATATGCCTAGATCTTTGTCCAATGGCATCGGATCTAGATATTTCAATGGCCGCTTTATTGTCCTCATGCATAACAAAAGGCAAAGCAGGTTTTTTCCAAACATCTGAAATTAAATCATTAAACCATACAAGGTTATTTGCAGCTTTGGATAAACAAACATATTCCGCTTCTGTGGTTGAAGTGGCTACCAATTCTTGTTTACCAGTGTACCAGTAAACTGGACAGTCATTTAACAGGAAAACATAACCAGAAGTACTTTTTCTGCATGATGTATCTCCAGCCCAATCCGCATCTGCGTAACATGTAAGTCTTGGTTCTTTGTTATCACTAGGCTCTAATACTAGACAAAAGTCTAATGTATTTTTCAGGTATCTTAAAATTCTTTTGACAGCTTCCCAGTGGTACATTGTTGGTTTACTAACGTGCCTTGATAATAAATTGAGTGGTAATGCAATATCTGGCCTGGTCCAATTGGATATATAAAGAAGTGAACCTATGACTGATCTATAGAGTGTATTATCCTTGAATTCAGGGGAAGATTCATCAGTATTTCTGAGGAAATCAGTTTGCATAGGAGTGTCACAGGGTTTGGCATTGTTTAAATTGCATTTGTTTAGAAGTTCAATAATCTTATCTTTCTGAGTAAGTTTGAAACCCCTTCTAGTTTTGTTAATTTGTACACCAAGGTATTTGTTTATTTTACCTAGAGATTTTAACGAGAAATGTTCATTTAACTTGTTTACAAAGATTTCTCTTCTCTCTCTGTGTTTTCCTATATATAAAATATCATCTACGTAAATCAATACAAACTCAACGTGATCATCACTCTTTTTGACAAAGAAACAGTTATCAGCAGTGGTAGCGTTGAAATCCATGGTTTTAAGTACTTTTACCAAGCAATCGTACCATCTTTTGCCAGATTGCTTTAACCCGTATAAACTCTTGTTCAATAGCCAAATTTCATTTTTATTAGTGTATTGACTGTGAGGTGCTCTTACGTATATTTCCTTATCTAGTTTTGCGTGTAGGTACGCAGTCTGTATGTCATATTGAAATACATCAAGATTGAGAGTGGATGCTACTACTAGAGCTGTTTTAACACTCTCTGTCCTTACTGTGGGGGAGTATGTGTCAGTATAGTCCTCCGGATATTTTTGTGCATAACCTTGTGCAACCAATCTAGCTTTGTATAAGGTATTGCCTCCTTCTAGATTCTTAATTTTATAAATCCACCTGGTACCAATAATTGTTTTATCCTTGGGTGCAATCGCAGGTGTGAATACATTTAATCCTTGCAAACTCTCCATCTCTTTTTTCATAGCTAGTTCCCATTTTTCTTTTTCCTCACGAGGTAGTTTCAATACTTCCTCATATGTATTAGGTGTTATTTGTTCACCATCCATGTGCATTATGTAATCTTTGTATTTATTTGGTATTTGATTTCTGTTGTTCCTAATAGCTCTTTCTGGTTTGCTATGGTAGTCATGTAAATATCTTGCTTCCTTTTTTGTTAATGTGTCTGTCTTTATTTTGTGTTGGCTATTTGTCCATGTTTTGGTTTTTCTTTTACTTTTGTTAATATTTTGATTTTCTATCGTCCCTTCCTCACGAGATTTGGTATCCTTGCATTTACTTGGAAATATTTCATTAAGATGTAATTTAGACCAGTTGGCCTGTTCATGGAACACAGCTGTTCTGGAAACTATAAATTTATTATTATTATCAATGAATCTGTACCCTTTGGTGCCAGTTTCATATCCCATAAATCTTAATCTTCTGGATACGTTTTCTCTTTTTCTCCTCAATTGTTTGGGTATGTGTACGTCTGCAGTGACCCCAAATATGTGCATGTGTGCTAATTTTGGTTTCCTATTATACATCACCTCATATGGTGTCTTATTCACAATACTGGACCAGGTTCTATTTTGAGTGTAATTTGAATAATGTAGGGCTTCTGACCAAAATTGTTTGCCTAAACCAGCATCCTCTAATGTGCATCTAATCATGGTTTGTAATGTGGAATTCTTTCTCTCTGCAATCCCGTTTTGGAACGCAGAAAATGGACTAGACGTGTAATGTAACATTCCTCTATCCTTTAACCATTGGGAGAATTCCTTAGACATGAATTCACATCCCCTATCTGTCATAATTTGTTTTATTCTGATATTATGTTGTGTTTCTATGCGTTTGTAAAATTCCTTAAATTTTTGAAAGGTTTCATCCTTGTGTTTTAATGTGT